TATATTTTATTTATCTTTCAAAAATTTTCCTTAATTTGGCCATCAGGAAAAAAAAAAACAACTATTTTAGGGTGGGCCTGATTATTAAAAAGATGTTGACCAGCTGTTCCTGAACTTAAGACAAAAGATTAAGCTAGATGAATGAGATTTATAGTAGAACACAAAGGGTTTAGGTATAAATAGAGTCTAATCACAGTTTTGATTTGTTTGAAGCTGTAATGTTTTTCTCAGGAATATTATAAATTTTTCTTTAGGTGCTTTTAAAAACTAAAAATAGATGTTTCATCTGTCTGTATTGGGTTAGGTAGAGTCCTGCTGAGGATATAAAGTTGATTAATATTACCTCTAATGTTTTCTTCTGACCCAAGAGTTGTACAACCATTTAATAAGCCAGTCTGGAAATAGAATAGAGAATCTGAACTCCTTGTAAAAGTAATAATTGTAGCTTTAAAAGGTCCTACAGAATTTTACAATAATTAAATTGAAGAGATAAGCTGAAACAAAAATCATTGCTTAAAAATCTTTGTAAGAAAAACGCTTCCTATAGCTGTCAGTTTTGAAGTAAGCTATAGTAAACTTCTTAATTTTATTCCTGAAAAATAAAAATTCTTTATATCAACTTGTCATCTACAGGAGATTGCTTGAGTTGGAGTTTTCAGTGTGTATGAATTCTACATTATTGTTGACCTTTTCATATTAGAAAATGAAGCTGCTGACAGTGATTGTACATACATGTTCACAAGTCGGGGGGAAGACTACTGCAGTTCTACAAAAGGCTTCCTTCTATATCTTACAAGAAAATTCTGCCCTTTGATTTTTCTTTATTACTGCTGCTACTGCTGCTACTACTGCTGTAGTACTTATGTGCCAGGATTTGTTCTAGGTGCTTTAGATGTATTAGCCCATTTGATTCATATAACAGCTTACTGAATATGTACTATTACCATCCCCCTTTAAGAGAGGAAAAAACATGTACAGAGAGAAGAAGTCCTCTTAGGGACATAGAGCTAGTAAGTGGCAAAATGGCACCTTGTGTTGTTTGGTCCAGAACCTATGCCCCTGCCACTCTGCAGTCTTGCCTACTACTAATCTACCACATTGGCCATTGTATATAGTCCTCTCTTTTTTGCTTATTTCCCCAGTAGGAAAACAGAAAGTTTTACACAGTTGGAGATGATAAAGAATTACATACAATCCGCTATTGCAATTACAGTGTGGATTTCAATTAACTTTTCTTGACATAAAATTTAATATCAGGAATTGATTTCATGTGAAAATTCAGTTATATGAAATGTTGCCTATTGGATCAACTTTTATGAGCATATTAGAGAAAGGCAGTGACTTAACTCCCATGCTCAACTCAGATGCTGATATAGGTGTACATGTGTGAATTACCACATTGCAGTAATAGAATGACTTGGTGAAGAAGTGGGTGCAGGAGATAAAAGAGATACCAGTAAGTATGACTTTGACCTTCTTCAGTGCTAATTATTCAGAGAACCTTATTTAACTTGTAAATGTTCCCTTGATAAACTTAAAATGACCATGTGTAATGTGAAGTTAGTATTATGTGTTTAGAAAACTGTTTAGGACAGGAAGTAGGCATTAGGAACTCTTCACACGTATCTAGACTTTCAGATTTTTTTTTTTTTTTTTTGAGACAGAGTCTTGTTCTGTTGCCCGAGCTGGAGTGCAGTGGCGTGATCTTGGCTCACTGCAACCTCCACCTCCCGGGTTCAAACGATTCTACTGCCTCAACCTCCTGAGTAGCTGGGATTACAGGCAAACACCACCACGCCCAGTTAATTTTTGAATTTTATTATGGGTGAGGTTTTTCCATGTTGGTCAGGCTGGTTTTGAACTCCTGACTTTGTGATCTGCCTGCCTTGGCCTCTCAAAGTGCTGGAATTACAGGTGTGAACTACCATGCCCAGCCCAGAATTGTTTATTGGCAAAACAATTTTCAAGAAAACATGACCTGAGTATGCATCACTGTTAGAGATCATGGAAACTATGTATTTTTTCTAAAATGTTTTAATAGACAAGAGCCAGATGGTACAAGCTTCAAGTGACTTTAGTACATCTGTACTAATCAAAATTGTATGAATAAGCATACTCAGTGTAATTAAGTAAGTGAATTCATCCAATATGTCACAAACTCTTGAACATAGTGAATTAAAGACCATGGATATAAGACAATACCACTTATAACTACAGTAATACTAGTAACAACTACAACCACCACCACACAACTTACATTTATTGTGAATCAGGAAAGTGCTTTAAATGAATTATATTATTTAATCCTACAACAACCCTGTGAATTCACTATTATAACTTCCAACTCCACAGATAAGAAAAAGAGAGCATTAATTATGTGCACAGTTACACAATTAACAAGTATCACTTATTCAATATTTACTGAGTATACCCACCAGAGATCTGTACTGTTCTAGGTAATGAAGAATTAAAAATGAGTAAAACAAAGTCCCTGCCTTCATAGAAGGACCCCACCTTTTATGAGAGAGACAGACAACAAACAAATAAACATGGAAACATAATAAGTCAGCTGGTAATTAGAATTATGTAGAACAGTAAAGCCCAGTAAGTAGACAAGAGAGTGCTAGCATAAGGTACTGTGATAGGCGTTGTCACTTTTTTATGCAGGGCAGTAAGGGGAGACCTCTCTGATAAGGTGACATTTTAGCAGATACCTGGAGGGAGAGAGATATTTGTAGGAAGAGTGTTCCTGTGCTTGGAATACAGGAGAAGAATGGTCTAGGAGGCCATGTATTTGGAGTGGGTGAGGAGAAGCATGGTTGGAGTTTGAACCCAGGTTTATCTGACTCCAGAGTCCATAAACCACTACACCAATCAGATAGGGTAACCACAACGTTACCTAACCTACTGTGATCTTAGAGACATATTAGCCAGATACATATTCTCATGGAAAAGAGGAGGGTAGTGACATTCTACTCTGAAAGTTCTGGGTTGCGTTGAGGCGATGTGAGAAATCCCTGTGGTTTGTGGAGGGGTGTTTTTGAGACTAAAAGCAGAGAACAATTATGAAGCCTAAGTTTGGGAAACTGGGATTGTAGCTCCCATGCTCAGAATTCTTCCATGGTTCTTCAATTGCCTGCAGAGCTTTAGAGAAATGAAGTAACTTTCTGAAAGCCTCATAGCAAACAGACCTGCTTTTGAATTATGATAAAGACTATATTCATAACTGCTGAGCTATGCTGTTCTTCTCAAAGTGTGAAATCAATCACATGCTCCTTGGCTTCCTGTCACCTACATATCAAAGTTGACATGACTTGGCAAGGAATGCAGAACCCCCAGAGTGTGGCTGCACCTTCTTTTATGCCCTCCTCCCACTGTCCCCTCCCCATGCACCTTGGCATGCAACAGAACGGTGCTCCTCAGGGTCATGTTCCTAGGATTTTTTGCATTCTGAAATGTCCTTCTTTCTCTTATTTTGTAACCAAGATTTTATATCTTTCTTGAAGCCTTTTTTTTTTTTTTTTGCCATTTTCCTTCTCAGATTGAGTTTTGACTTCTTCCCAGGCTGGTTTTAGAGCTTATATATCTTTGTACTTGCTCATCATTTCCAGTAGAAATCATTCCTTCAGTCCCTATCCTCCCAGCTAGGAATACACTTGCCTAAACACCTATGCAAGCATTGACCATGGATTTTATTACCACACTTTTAAAGTAATTTCTTTGCTTTTGTATCTGCCTTGTCTTCTAAACTATGCCATTCAAAGCTTTTTAAAAATCTATATCCCAACCAAATATAGGGCCTGGCATGTAGTTTACCTGCTTACTTAAATTAAACTTAAGAATATTAGATGCAGAGTTATAATGATGACAGATTCGATCAGATTAAAACAAGTGGAGTATGTTGAGCAGTAATATTAGTTCGTTATGGAAAAATAGATGATAATAAAAACTATTCAATGAAAGATTATAATGTGTCAGGCATTAAACTCAGTGTAAAAATATATTATTCTATTATTCAAGATCAAATTCAAACTTGGAAGATATGTCTTATTAGGTATGGCTTTAAAACTAAATTAAAATCTTAATAGATATAACTTTAAAACTAAATTAAAATGTATTTAGTTTTTAACTATTACTAAGTGAATAGTAGGAGAGTAACTGGGGCTTTGATTGGAGGAAAAAGTCTTTATAAAGGGACAGAAGTCATCCTTGTTTCTTTGTATTCAGTTTTTAAAACATTACTACAAATGTGTATACTTGGCTACATGGCAGAGATCTTCCGGAAGGAACACTGCCCTCATTTATAATTCGGACATAGCATGTTGGGTGAGACAGAGGGCTATTGGGGAAGTGAGCCCAGATGAGACCTTGCATATAATGCAGTGCTTCGTGCTGTTATCAACGGTTAATTGTAAAGGTTTTAGTAAGTACCATCCTTCCAACCTAAGGCCCAAAGTGGGATACTTCAGTCCATGGTTACTTAGTATAATTCCTGATTTTCATTTAGTAGGAAGTCTACTAATTAGGAAGTCTATTGAGTAATTTTTGAATGAACTGCTATTGCTGATTGCTTTGTTTCTCACACAGGTATTTAATCTCGAATTGATATAGTGCTTATAATCACTGATAAATCATTTTGAGACATGCATTTAATTTTGGCTTATATAACATTTATGTTACTCTAGTGACGTTGAGTTGCATTCCGAAAGATTTAAGTGCAAAATCTTTAAAAAAAATGTATCCATAGTTTTCCCACACTTCTCATCACACAGTACAGCTTTTCTTCCCTTTATTCACTTGATTTTATTGTTTCCTTAATTTCTCAATATTTTCTGCCAATTATGTGAATTAGGCATGCTTTAATCCTAATACTTAGAGTCTATCAGTAGGAAAGACTACATTAATGCTCAAAAATATATTTTAAAAAGTATTTTGCTCTCAATCCTTTCCAGTATCCAGTAGAAATTTAATCTGAAGCTCTTTTTGTGGTTTTCCTGCAGTGACACCACAGCCAAAGCCCTGTGGGAAGCTTTACTCAACACTAAGCACAAAGAGGCAGTGATGGAGGTTCGGAGACATCTAGTGGAAGCGGCAAGCAGAGAAAACCTGCCAATCAAGATGAGTATGGGTAAGCCTAAACCTAGGACACAGGCAGTCTCTGGGGAAGCTTATTTAAACCTGCTCTGAATTGTGGGCCAACCTAGACAACACGGAATCTAGGTTAAAGTAGTAACGACTTTTGTATACTGTTGAAAGAATAGGGAGGGAATATGTGCACACTGCCCTTGGGCTCAGCAATGACCACTTTTCTTAGATTCAGCTTTGGGAACTCCAGGAGAGTTTTTGCTTACAAAGACTGATTATTTTAGTTTCTTATTCATCTATTCTAGAACTATCAAAATTGGTCTGGACTACCTCTCCTTAATTCTATTCTACCCCTACTCCCTTTTTTCCCCATTCTTCCCCTATTCCCCACTTATGGTGAGTAAAAGTTCTCTTATTACTTTTGAATTAGTGAATGAAATGGTACTGAGAAGACAACTGAGCAGACAGACATGGTCTGGCCTAGTCCCTCACCCTTGGAGTGCTAATTGTCAAGTCACATCAGTGTTATTTCTTCTTCACCAGGGATTACATACCTAACTTTTCTATTTCTCATTTTTTTTCACATCCACCTTTGTCTTTGGTATTAGATGAATATGATTGCAATGGAATTTAAGTTTTAAGTGGCCTTTTTTCTTTTGATCAAAAAGTCAGAGAACCACAGAACTAATGTGTTGATTTTAGAAAAAAATTTGCCTTTTCATTTTTTTTGTTTTAAGAAATATTAAATAATTTTATTGATACAGAAATATTTAAATATGGATATTGAATCTGGTTAATAGGTAGAATTTGTTTCTGGAAGCTTGTAAAATTTTATTTTTCTCTTTTAAAAATAAGATTTCTCTCTTATAATCTGTTCTTAGGTATTCAGTAAATATTAGTACATTTTACTGGATGGGAACATTTTTCTTTGCTGAGATTCATAGCCCAAGTTCTTGATTACACATGAGGGCAAAAATCAAACTAAGTTGAAACAGAACAAAATTTGGAAGTAGCAGAATATGGATGAATCTAGGAAGAAAAATGTTACAGGGTTATAACATGAAAAAAAAATATGACTTTTAGTGCATTAGGTGACTATATTTGAGGGCTTCGAGGAATATAATGATGATAAGAAAAGTGAAATAACTAACCATTATTGAGAACTTACAGTATGCTAGGTCTTTGGACTCTTTACGTGTGTTATCTTATTTCATTCTTAGAGTAATTCTATGAGGCATATACTATTAGTATCTCATTTTTCAGATAAGGAAACTGAAACAGAGAAAAATAAGTTGCCCAAGGCTATATATCTGATAAGTGGTAGGACTGGAATTCAAGTCCAAGAATTTTGATGCCACATAATTGCACTTTATTTATAAAATTATTCTAATTCATATACCCCATGCCAGAAGTGGTTTTGAAGGGTGAGAGCTCTTTTAATAGTTTTGAATTGATAAATGAACTATTATACTAAAAACAATTTAGCAGACAGACATGCCCTAGCCTCGCCCCTCAGCCTTAGAGTGGGTCTCAAAGTTGCTGCACTGAGACATCCTGGCATTTGACTATTAATTCTCTTTCTTTTCTTCCTCCTTTTTTCCTTCCTTCTCTCCCTCCATCTCCCATCCCCCTCTCTCCTTTCCTTTCCATAGCCCTAGGTACACATTAGTAACAAGTATATTTACCTTATTGAGTGTCTTATTCTTAAGTATGTTGAAACAAGAACTAATTAATATTGTGAATTGACTGGACGCGGTGGCTCATGCCTGTAATCCCAGCACTTTGGGATGCCAAAGCGGGCGGATCACGAGGTCAAGAGATTGAGACGATCCTGGCCAACATGATGAAACCCTGTCTCTACTAAAAATACAAAAATTAGCTGGGAATGGTGGCGCTTAGTCCCAGCTACTCAGGAGGCTGAGGCAGGAGAATCACTTGAATCTGGAAGGCAGAGGTTGCAGTAAGCTGAGATTGCACCACTGCACTCCAGCCTGGCAACAGAGGAAAAAAAAAAAACTGTGAATCAAGGAAAGTAGGAATGCACAAAGGGTCTTGATGTTAAGGTTAATTTATATGTTTCAGAGATACAACATTATGATACTATTACAGAGCATAAATCAATTTTTATTGCTCAATTCAGGACTCTTGAAAGAGCAATAAACTACTTTTCTAAAGGGCTGTATCTTTGAAAAATAATCAGAGCCAGAAATTTTAAAAAAGGCCAGGTAATCCCATAAGGAATTCACATTTAAATGTTTGAGTTTTCTGTCAACCAAAAAAAAAGATTTTTTTTGAAGATAGAATTGTTTACTTCATCCCACTACTCTAGATAGGGGTTGGGGTGGGAGTGGGAGGAAGAAAGAAGGGAAAAAGCAGAGGATTGTTAGCAAACTTCTGTTGTAAGAAGGACCAAAAAGATTGATTCAAAGCATACTCTATCCATGTGCTAACTGCTCTTTAGTAACAGATAGCACAGTATGGTTGCCCATTTTTGCTTCATATCCCTAGCCAGAATTTCTTGTGTTTCATTTTCATATGTAAATAGATTCATAACTATGAACAGTAAGGAAAAAACTATAACTTGTAAACATAACAAAACATTGACTTTTGAAAACTGCCTATCATATAGCTTATCATATAGTGTTTAAAACTATAAAATATATTTTAAACTATGCACAATTCTCCCATCTTTGCTGTAGTTTCTACTGAAGTATAAATTTTTCTGACTGTGATAAAGGCTTCTAGTATTTTTGAGATGTTAAACAGATTTTAATTATAGACTCAGGATTCTCTTGTATTTAAATTTATGGGGAGGGATCCCATGATTGAAACCTCAGATCTTAAATATAAAATTTCTCAGTACAAGGTAAATTCATGTTAAAACACTATGAGCACCAAGAGAAATAAACATCATCCACTTAAAGGAAAAATGTTTAATTGCTAAAAGACAGAAAAAAATTCATTTTATCATTGCACATATAAACATGTCATCTTTCTGAGAGCTTGTTATTAAATTGTCAGTTAACTAAATAGATATGTTCCAGAAAAGTGACTTTTAAAACATTGAAATGGAATTGTATTTTTCCCACTGGTTTCCATAATGAAAAATGTACTCTGAAAGTAACAAAACAAACAGACCATAAGAAATCCATTTGTTTAAGTCTAAAATGGCTACTCACAGAAGAAATGAGTAGATGATGTCCATCTCAAACTCTGGTACATTTTACGGAGAATCTTTCACTGGAATATGATTGTGGTTGAGGAACTTCATGTATTTGTCCTATAGTTCTCTACAAAGTGAACATATTCCCCAGTGTTTAATGGGTGGCAGAAGTATTCTATTATATTAGAGCTGAAGTGAAACAGATATCTTTATGATACTGTCTTTTCTTTGTAGCCAGAGTTCTTGAAAGAGTGTTCTATAGTTGATGCCTCTGTTTCTTTATTATTTTCTTACTAATGTAGTGTAGTCTGGCTCATGACACTTTTTTACTGGAAAGTCTCCCAGACCACTGAATATAAGTACATTTTTACCAGTCACCATCCTTCTTGACTTCTTTGCAGTATTCACTACTAGACTTTGCCACTTTCTTATATGTCTCTCTGTGTTTTCTGTGACTTTAGCCTCTTCTGATTGTGATGGAGTACAAAGTCAATTATATCTGAGGGTGAATCACAGTTCTGCCACTTATTAGCCAAACTTCAATTCCTCTGTCCATAAAATGGGGGAAATGGCTATTTTCTGGAATTTTAAAGGAGAATAAAAGCTCTGAGTAGTGTGAAGTTATGACTATCAAGCAAACTGGAATGAGTAAGCTATAGTTACAGTCTCTGTCTATGGGAAAATCTACACGGGAAACTAAATTATAAGAAGGTTGTTTGGTGAGAGTGAAAGCAAAGCAAACAGATCAAGTTAGATGATTTCCCCTTTCTTTCTCGGAAATGTACTCATTCATTCTTTCCACTTCACTCATCTTTTTCTAGGCTTTATGCTAAATATCTCCCTTCTGATAAACCTGTCTTTTTTTAAGCAGAATTCTAAATAGCTTTTCCATGTTTGGCCTCGTTATAATTCCATTGCATTCCCTCTTTCCTGACTCTGTTCATTCCTCCTTGACTCCTCCCTGCGCCGCCAACATCCCCTTGACTGTATTTGGGATTCCTAATCCTCTGTGGTCACACTTTTATGGAAAAAATCTTTAGAGTTACATTTATAGATGATAATCTGATCCATTACAGTGTGATACTTCTTAATTGCTCTCCTAGTTCTGGGACATCTTAGTGTCAGTCCTATAAACTCACCACTGTTGTCTCTTTTCCAAATTAAATATGATGAGTTCTTTTAACCATTTGGGAAAAGACAAGCCTTTCCCACCTTTTACTTCTAGTTTTAAGTCACTGGCAGAGCTCTAGTTTGTTAACATCCCTCCTAAAATGTGAATCCAGAACTGAACAAAGATGTTGTCTTGTTTTTCCCCTATTTTGAACACTTCACTGTGCTTCTCTTCTTTTTTTTTTTTTTTTGAGATGAAGTCTTGCTCTGTCACCCAGACTGGAGTGCAGTGGCATGATCTCAGCTCACTGCAACCTCCGCCTCCTGGGTTCAAGCAATTCTCCTGCCTCAGCCTTCCGAGTAGCTGGGATTACGGGCCCACGCCACAATGCCCACCTAACTTTTGTGTTTTTATTTAGATGGGGTTTCACCATGTTAGCCAGGCTGTTCTCGAACTCATGATCCGCCCGCCTCGGCCTCCCAAAGTGCTGAGATTATAGGCGTGAGCCACCGTGCCTGGCCTTTGCTTCTCTTAATAAAGCCCCAGATAAGATTTGTGATTTTTGTTTTCCACCAATTCCACACACTTTCATTTCTGAATTTCAACATTTAGCAGTATTGACTTTGAAAAACAGCAATACATCAAAATACTTTAAAATTTTATTTGATATGTGTTTTTTAAAAACAGCATTGAAGTGTTCTACTTCCTGTTTTTGATACTTGAGTTCATCCAGTTCTGGCTGAATAACAGCTGTGTTTTGATCACATTT